ATCTGCTAGCAGTAATATTTGTGGCCTTACATGTTCATTGACATTTCTGTGAAAATTTCCCCTGGGCCATTAGGTGCTCCAATGTCAACCTATTGTCTTTCTTTCCCTCAAGCCAAGGCCTTCTTGTCTTTTATTGCTCTTCAGATACAACTCTGCCAAAAAGGACAATGATTTCATCTACCATGAAGCCGTCCCTGCTCTGGATACCTTGCAGTCTGTGAAAGGTATAGTGGAGACACTGCCAATAACCTAATGGGATGATTTTAAAGAACAACCCAAGTGAAAGGATGCTCAGTACAGTTTACAGAGTGATCTCTTTTGAATCCCTTGGTATTGGCACACCTTGGGCTCTAAAATCACAAAGGCTGGGTGCTCTTTGAAAAACCAGGAACCCCAGTGGGTTAAGGTGTTAGCAAAAAGAGAGAGAGAGAGAAAGTGAGGAGGGAGCTCTCACACTGTACTGCAATGAAGTGATAAATAATATTATTTTTATCCCGCCCCTCTGCGAACGCAACCCGGGTGGGTGGCATACAATGTTAAAAATACCATAAATTACTATACAAAAATACAAATCCCAAGACCCACCCACCTCTTAAAATAGCATTAAACAATAAACAATTAAAACAAATTAAAATAAAGCGCAGTGACAAAGCAGACAAATAACAATAACTGCGGTAGAAAATAGGAGAAAGGATGGGTTAACTCTTGAGGCCGGGATATCTAATAAAGAGCAGACAGGAAAATTTGGCGTAATGAGAGCCGAAAAGCCAAATGTATGTTTGCAAATCCTTATTGATCATTTCTTTTCTTCATTTAATAAAAAATGGAAACAATCATATGGTCTATGAGTCAAAACGAATATCAGAGTGGAGTAATATATATATTGGGATGAACCAAAACATTGACAAAATATGAGTTTTTGATTGCTCCAGAATGCTTCCTCAGGCTGGATGGCAGAAGTAAAACTGGGGATGACACAAGACAGTCTCACCTAGAAAAAACTGGAAGGATGGATTGAATCCCCTTTCACTCCAATACAGTTGCTCCACTTGGAGCAATCCTTCTGCTGATTTAATTAAATGTAGAAATATTGGGGGATAAAAGCTAGCATGATGTAATGGTTTACATATCAAATTGCGACCCCAGGACTTTGGGAAAAGCCAGGACTGTTAATGTGTGAGAAGAGAAAGAGCCAGCATGGTGTAGAGCTTTCAGTTTTGGCTTAGGACTCAGGGAGACCAGGGCTCTAATCCCTGCTCAGCCCTGGAAACCCACTGGATGACCTTGGGCAAGTCACGCGCTCTCAGCTTCAGAGGGAGGCAATGACAAACTTCCCCCGAACAGATCTTGCCTAGAGTACTGTCTGATAGAGCTGCCGTAAGTCAGAGTCAGCTTGAGGGCACATAACAACAGAAATATTGGGTACCATATCAGTCTTGACCAACATTTCGAACTGTTTGTTAAAGAACCACTCAGCCATCTTAAAGCAGCCCTTCGCACTGTGTAACAGTAGCATCCTACACCTCTTAAAATTGAGTTACTCTAGCACTTTCCGAGACTCTAAGGTTATCCTGGCTTTGTCAGTGCTCCAGTTGAAGCCTGGAAAGCTCCTCCCTGGACAGTGCAAGGGAAGCCCCCGAATCTCTTAGTAACACCATCTTCTCTTCCATCAGGTGCACCCCTGGTGAAGGCCCTTCCTGTCAACCCCACAGATCCAGCTGTGACAGGCCCTGATATTTTTGCCAAGCTAGTGCCAATGGCGGCCCACGAAGCATCATCACTCTACAGGTAAGCAGCCACTTCCTCTGCCTATTGTCAGCTGCTTTGCATTCTGGGAACCTGAGTGGCCTTCCTGTTTGTTGCAAGAGGGTGTGTAGCATGGGGGCGCAAATAGAGTCAGTGGTGTTTAAAATGTGGGAGATAGAAGGTTTTCTAGTATGTGTGGGAAAGGTAGGACTGTGGATCACACAAGACTCAGCAAGGTTGTTATCATTGCAGTGGGAACAGCTTTTTTCAAATACCTGGATCTTTTTTCAGAACAGGAGATGAGGGCAGGGAAATAAGTGAGGGTGAACAAAAAGCGGTGAAATGCCGAATAGCAGCCTACCCCATAGATCTCTGGTGGTCATGGGGAAACGCTTGATCATGTCATTTGTGGGGCCAAATATTTCTTAGAAAACCCCTCCCCCCAGGAAATGGAGGTAGGACCCTCCTGGATCCTGGTGGGGTGGGGAATGCAGGCCCCTAGCCCCTGCAAGTTGCCCTCCTCTGCTTTATAGTCAGGAAGAATTTCTTTTGGGAGGGAGAGAGTGCAAAGCCAAAGGCCTTAGAGTCAGTTCCAGATGAGTTTCTGAGGGAGGAGGCAGTGCTGTTGTTGAGGAGTTTGTGGGTAAATCATGTTCTCAGATTCATGAACAGGAGTTTGGTACAATGAGGCCCCTCCTAGCAAAAGGGTGTCTCAGCTTCCCAGACCAGAATAGCCTTCCCTGTAATTCTTGCCTTGACACTTACTTCCTTCTCTTCTTTCCTTCTCAGTGAGGAGAAAGCCAAGCTGCTGAGAGAAGTGATGGCAAAGATTGACGCCAAGAACGAAGTCCTTGAGTATGTAGCTTTCTAGAAAAGGTTGATGCTGGTTAGAGGGGGAAAGAGTGGAGGTAAAACAAATGTAATTGTGGAAGGCGATAGCCTCCAGCCTTTGCTACCATAGAGGTAATGGCATCACCCTTAACTGTCCACATGAGCATCCCTGCAACAGTCTTTTCATATCTTCTTGAAAACCAAATGGTGTGTGTGTGTCATCAAGCCATACAATTCTGGTGTTGGAAGATATCTCAGTAGTTCTCTACTCCAGCTCCCTACCAAGTACAAGAATCCACAGCTAAAGTGCCCACTTGACAGAGATGGGCATAGAGCTTCTGCCCAAAACTTCCAATGAAGGAGAGTCCAGCACCGTCTGAGACAACCTGTTCCACTGTCAAAGACCCTTTACTGTCTAGATCAGGGGTAGGCAACCTTTCCCCTTTAAGGACTGAGGGACTTCAGCTCCCAGAATCCCAGGAGCTATTGGCCAACATGGGACTATTGGCCAACATGGCTGAGGCTTCTGGGAGCTGAAGTCCCTCGGCCCTTAAAGGGGAAAAGTTGCCTACCCCTGGTCTAGATGTTCTTACTAATGTTTAATCAGAGTCTCCCTTGTTGTTTGAATCCATAGATTCCCCTGTACCCCATGCAGCAACCAGAAATAAGTTCACTTCATCTTTCACACAACAATGCTTCATGCTGGCAGTGAGCTTGACCTGGAAGGCATCCTTACAATCACTAGATTGAACAACAGCTCTGGAAAGTCCTGGAAAGTGTAGATTCAAGGGAGTGGATTGTTTTGAAGAGTAGATATTCCTGTTGATAGTAGATAGGAAAGCCATGAGTCTAGCTTGGCTGGATGTGGATCTCAAAAGTGTTTTTGTCAGCCCTTGAGGCTTGGGGCAGGCCTGTGGGAAGGAGCATACAAGCTGTGTCTCTCCCTGTAATTGTTTTTCTCTCTTTCCAGGCAGTTCATGGACTCTCTGCAGCTGGACCCCGAGACTGTCGACAACTTGGACATGTACAACCACATTCCACCTGTCTTGATGGAGAAATGCGCAGCTCTGAGTGTGCGCCCAGAGACTGTGAAAAACCTTGTTCAATCCATGCAAGGTAAGTGGCCTGTGTATGGACACAGGAGTGTTAGAATCTGCCTTCTAGTGACAGGCAATTAGTCCATGAAGCCCACCCCCAGATCCCAGGGTGATTCTTTTGCCCCCAAATCCTGCTTCCATGATTTAAACATAGTGTTTTTACCTAAAAGCCTTCAGAAGCCCTTCATATACTTTAAAATGTTTTTAGAAACCGTGAAAAATCACCCCAAAATAAGCTGAAAATGAAACAAGAGGTAATGTGATGTAATTTCCTGTCACAATGGGGTGTGTCTGTGCAGCCTGCTGTAGGGGCAAAAGATTTCTCCTGACCTTAACAGTTTGGAATGTAGCCTTGTGTGAAAAACTGACATATAAAATGAGACAACAAGCAAGGAAGAATGAAGATGCTTACTTTATTAGAACGTGGTATTAATTCGTTATGGATGATGACTTTATTAAAATACGGTATTGATGATATTCATTTGTTCTCCCGACAATCTGAAAAAAATCTGGACCATCTCCTTTTGACAGAACGATACCATTGAGCCCACATGGAACATCTCTTCCCTTTCCGTTGGACTAGATATGAGCTACAAAATTATAAGTTAGAATTATAATTTAATTATTTATAATGATAACTTAAGGTCTTATAGCATGCCTATTTGTTAAGTGTTGTTATGATTTGTAAAATTGGTGTGTGTGTGTGTTCACACAAGTTGAGCATGCCTAATTCAAAATCTGAAATGCTCTAGAATCCAAAACTTTTTTTATGGATGACTGAGATAGTGACACTTTTGCTTTCTGATGGTTCAGTGTGCACAAACTTTATTTCATGCACAAAATTATTAAAAATATTGTACAAAATTATCTTCAGGCTATGTGTATAAGGTTATATGAAACAGAAATGAATTTCATGTTTAGACTTGGGTTTCATTTCCAAAATATCGCATTGTTGTTGTTGTGTGCCTTCAAGTTTCTGACGTATGGCAACTGTAAGAACCCATCATGGGGTTTTATTGACAAGGGAGCCCTGGTGGTGCAGTGTTTAAATGCCTATACTGCAGCCACAAGGTTGTGAGTTTGATCCCAGGGGCTCCAAGGTCTACTCAGCCTTCCATCCTTCCATAGGTCACTAAAATGAGTACCCAGCTTGTGGGGGCAATTGGTTTACACATTGTAAACTGCTTAGGGCGTGCTTAGTTCACTGATAAGCAGTATAGAAATGTACTTGCTATTGCTGTAAGTTTCTTGAGAGGGATTTTGCCATTGCCATCCTCTGAAGGCTGAGAGAGTTTGTCTTACCCAAGGTCACCCAGTTGGCTTACATGGCTGAACCAGGATTCGAACTCTGGTCTCCAGAGTCATAGTCCAACGTTCAAACCACTACACCATGCTGGTTCTCAATACCTCATTATGTATATGCAAATAGTCCAAAATTCAAAATCTGAAACACTTCTGGTCCGAAGCATTTTGGATAAGGGATACTCAATCTGTATATGTATATGTAGGCACATAAGCATTTATAACTATGTAATACAGTATTTGAAATTTTTTAAAGTGCAGATTCTTTTGTTCTTGGCTCTAGTTGTCCACTGGTCTAAAGGAAGGGTAGGAATCATATGGCCCCGCAAATGTTGTCAGACTTCAACTCCCATCTGTCCTAGGCTGCATAACCAATGCTGAGAGCTGTGCTCCCAACAAAGTTTGGAAGGCCACATGATTCCCACACATGGCCTACAGGAAGGATGCTGGACCCACTGCTGCTTAGGAGGCCCGTCCTCACTTACCTTGCCTTGCCTTGCCTCCATCCGTCACCCCTCTTTCTCCTCTTCCCCCAGTCCTCTCAGGAGTTTTTACGGATGCAGAAGCATCTCTGCGGGAGATCAAGGACCTTCTCAACGAAGATGAAGCCCAGGAGCAGAAGCTGCGTGAGACGCTGGGCAAGCCGCCCCTGCAGCAGGAGTCCCCACCCACCCCATCCCCTGGACTGGCAGAGGTGGCAAAGGAGTGGGCCAAGTACATGGAGGTTCACGAGAAGGCCAGCTTCACTAACACAGAACTGCACAAGGCGATGAACCTCCACATCAGCAACCTGCGGCTGCTCAGCGGGCCTTTGGAGCAAGTGAGGGCAGCACTGCCCACTCCCAGCCTGACTGAAGGTGAGGGACAAGCCAGGGCAGGGTCTCTCCTTCCCTGCAGAAATGCTCTTCTCCTCTGGCAGCAACTTCCCAACCACATTTTCAAGCTCGTTCCTAGCTTAAGCCAGAGTGGGATTCATGTGTAGGAGAAAAAAGATGCAGAAACTGGGGAGCATCCAGTGGAGACCACAGAAGAGAAGCTCCAATTATGGTTGTTTAATTAGTAGAAAAGCCCTTTCTTCTGCTAATAAAACAACTATTTTTTCAGCATCTTGAGACCTCTGTATTGTGTCTTATGTATGTTGTGGAGTTGGATGTAGATTTTAATGTCCCGAGACTTTCAACCTCCTTTTTCTTTCCCTGCCAGCAAGTTTCTAGCCCTTAATGCTAAAAATACAGGCATACTTCACTTAACAAAGCCTCTGACAAAGAAGCTCATTTTTATAAAGTCTTTTTATGTCTCTCCTGGCCTGTTTTCCTCTTTGTCTAGCTGGAGGTTTTTGTTTTTTTAAACACAAATGTTACATTGGGAGAATGGTGAACGAGGGCTGAAGAAACACAGTTTCAGGATCAAATTGCAGCAGTGTGCCTTCAGTATACAGTGCAGTAAAGTCTGAACTAGAAAGAATGGGATTCTTTTCTAGCCAATCCTACTGTAGCTGTAATGCAAAGGGATCTTGTAGAAAAGAAAAGCTGGTGGCCAGAGCTTTCCTAGACTTGAGAGACTCAAATCTATGAAAGCTCATGCTACCAGCTTCTTTCTTTCAGTTAAGTCTCAAAGGTGCTACAAGATCCCTTAGGATACTGATTTTCTAGATTAACATGGCTATGTCTCTGCATTCTAATGTTTTATTGGCCTGTCTAAAACAGTCAAGGTAGACAGGATTTGTTAGTGAACAAAAAAACAGAGAGAAGATGAAGTGCCCTTCCTCCATTGCAACTGCCACTGTCCTGGTCTTGGAAGGAGAGAAGGGATAGGCACAGCTCCACCATGCCTAGCCCAGAGACAGTTGAAGGGCCCTTCCTCCATTCCAACTGCCACTGTTCTGGCCTCGGAGGGAGAGAAAAACCAGCAAACAGTATCTGCTGGACTTGATCCCCTTCCCAACTGCCATTCCCTTCTCCTTTTGTGTCATGTCTTGTTCAGATTGTAAGCCTAAGGGCAGGGAACAGTCTAATTAACAATTTGTAAGCTGCTCTGACAGGCTTTGTGGCAGAAGAGCACGGTATTAATTCTCTAAATGAATGAATGAAGAGCAGAAAGCAGATTCACCTCCTCACCAGCTACTCCTAGCATATTAATGGAAGCATAATCTATAAGTTTGGCCACCTAAGTGGAAATCATAAAGGTAGAGGCTGGTGAAAGGGGAAAAAATGTTCTTGGATGCATTTTGGAAGATTTCTTCATGCAGTTTCTAGAAGGTTTTGTTTACTTTTGCCAAGCTTACCTAACCTGGTTGTTTTGTTTCACTAGTTCTGGATAAAAAGTTTGTTGAACTGTTCTTTTTTTGTGAGGTAGGAACCGATCCCTATTTTTTCTGTTTTATTTCTCTGTTACTAAATTTTCTGTTAAAGAAGTAATGCTCAGGAATACATCTACTTTGTTAACTGAGGTATACCTGTATAAGGGCAACATTTTAGGAAGCTTCAGAACCTGGGGGGGGGTGTTCTTGAGCTCCAGAGGTGCAAAGCTTTAGCCTTCCTCCCTCACTGTGGGTGGCAGACATAGGAAGAATTGTGGAGCATTGTTGTTGTGCGCCTTCATAATTTCCGACTTATGGGGTTTTCTTGGCAAGATTTGTTCAGAGAGGGCTTGCCTTTGCCTTTGCCTTTGCCTTCCTCTGAAGCTGAGAGAGTATGACTTACCCAAGGCCACCCAATGAGTTTCCATGGCTAAGTGGGGATATACCTTATAAAAATGGAGACTGTAGATTTATACATTCCCTGGCACAGAATTAGGGAGAGGAGGTGAGCACAGAATTTTGGAGATAGATTCAGTAGAGCTCCTAAATTTTCCCCCTGAGAATTTGTTGGCTGAGAGTCCCCTGAATTCTTTGATGGTGTGTTGTGATCTGCTGTATAGATGCCAAACTCATAATAAGCTTGTGCAATGCATGTATCTTTGGGGTCCCTTTGGCTCTTCTCATTGTGGTGTTCATCACTTGAACTCCAGCCTCAGATTTCTTCCCGTAGTCAGTTTTGCTTTGTACGGCCCACGCTGGGGAAAGTTAAAAGGAACATTTGGTTTGAAAAAGAATTTTCCCTGTTGCCAGATAGAGTCTGACTGGCTACATCTTGCCCTGCAGAGGACAAACAGGTAATGCAGAACCTGAAACGGATCCTGTCTAAGGTGCAGGAGATGAAAGACCAGCGGATCTCCTTGGAACAGCAGCTACGTGAGATGATCCAGAAGGACGACATTACCACCTCCCTGGTGACGACAGACAGGTCGGAGATGAAGGTGAGCTGCTATGTGAGAACAGGCATTCCTTTAAGGCAGAGCCAGGAATCCTGTGGCCTGCCACATATTGTCAAGATTGCAGCTCCCAGCAACCCTATCCAACATAGGCAGTGGTGAGGAAAGCTGAGAGTTCGTGTCCAGTGTTTAGAGGGCTACATGAGTACCATTTCTGCATTAATAGAAGGAAGAATGGGTAATACCCTAAGGGCACCAGGTTCCATCTGATTGTGGGAGCCAAGCAAGGTCAGCCCTAGTTAGTACTTGAATGGGAGACTGCCAAGGAGTACCAAGTGTTGTAGGCTCTATTTCAGAGGAAGAAACTAGCAAAGCCACTTTGAGGATTCTTTGTCTAAGAACACCCTGTGAAATTCATGGGGTTGCCCTAAGTTGACAGGCAACTTGAAGGCATGTCTACATACAAGATCTGAGCTTGGTCCCTTTTCCCCAGATACTGCCGGCTAGAGCTCCCAGAGTGTAGGAAAAGGTGCTTTTTGGATTCAGTCACTCAGCTGGGCTGATTCTGGGATTGGCAGTCCAAAAAGAAGAATCTCCTCCCAGCTCAGAAGGCCTGGCAAGAAACACTAGTTGCTGCAGGCTATCTTTCAGAGGAAGGAACTGGCAAAACCATCTCCGAGTACTCCTTGCCTATGGAATCCATGGGGTCGCCATAAGTCAACAAGCACAAACACAGAGGGATGGTAATGGGTGCTTGGATTGCCAGCCCCTGTCCCTTCCTTCCCTTCCCTTGTCCAATTGATGGCTGTCTGTGGGGAAGAGAAATCCTAGTGCAGTGGACGAGCCCTTGCTTAGCATGCAAAAGTATTCCAGGTTCCATCCAGGGCATTTCCAAGTAGGGCTGAGGAGGATCCTTACCTATAATCAGGCAGGTAAGAAGCCTCCATGAAACAGCTTGCAGCAGCCTGAGCCAGTACATCTCCAGATAAAAGCCTGCCCAAGTTTTAAGATCCTCCATCCCACCATCATCACAGGATACAGCTGATGAAGACACAGGAGACAGGGCCTTCTCTGTAGCTTCCTCCAGGTTATGGAGTTCCTTCCTGCAAGAGGCTCGGTTGGTCCCCTTTCTCTTCTCTTTTCAGCAGCAGGCAAAGGCCTTCAGCTGTAAATTGGTTGTTGCACAACATCTTTGGGCATGCTGTGTTTTCATCAGTATTGTGATTTAACTAACTTTTAATGTATTGATTTGATTTCTAATATGATTGTTTAGTTTTTTAAAAATTATTTTTGTATTATCCATGGTTTTAACTTTTTACTTATATTGCAAGCTACCTTGAGTCCCATATCAGAAGGATAAAGCCAGTGCAGAAGAAAATGAGCTAAATGGGCCAGTGTACTGATTCAATAGAAGGCCACTTCTACCTCTCTGATCTACGTATCACTGGCTGCCCCCCCCCAACTTTTCCTTTTTTACCAGTTCCCAGATGTCCCTTCTCCCTCCTCATCTTCCCCCACTCCCACCCTGCTCTATCATAGTTTTTCCTTGACATTTGCTCCTTCTTGCTCCAGAAACTCTTTGAAGAGCAGCTGAAGAAGTATGACCAAATCAAGGTCTATCTGGAACAAAACCTGGCTGCCCAGGAGAATGTCCTGAAAGCCCTGACGGATGCCAACGTCAAGTATGCTGCGGTGCGCAAGATCTTGACTGAGGTGGAGCACAAGTGAGTGGGTGGGTGTGTGGGAACTCGATGATAGAGGCTGGACTGAGGAGGTAGAAGCTTAGTGCCATTTTCTCTAGCTGAGGGGTGGGCATGCTTTGGAGGGCCAGATCCCCAGTGCCC